CCGCATCCAGGCCTTACTCCTCTATCCCGCTACTTTGGATAGTAAATACCCGCACCCGACGCGTTGATCCATGCGGAACCCCCGAGGACGAGAAGTATCCAACGGAGAGAAGACAGATCCACGCATATCACACCACCCAAAATTCTTTCACGCATCGGTCAGCTGGACCACCGGACAAAATGGGGGAATCAATGCATCGCAAAATCGAGCTCCAAGCCCCCGCCGATTTCACATACCTTTATGGCAACACTGTCGCCCTCTCGCGCCAAAAACTCGACCTTCACTTACCTCCCTCTGCAAACCCTGAAGATGGACCGGACCCAATGCGCGAGCGGGTACGCGAGCTAGTCGATGAGGTACATAGCTTAAACTCTCAACGATATACCGACTTGAGCCCCCTAATACTGATGGACATGCGAAACAGTATATATTACGTACTTTCACATCGGCTTCCTCCTCGATAAGTATTAACGGTCTCGACTCTTCATCGCCTCAGTTTCCCTTTCCGGCTGCTTTCACTGCGCCCGCAGAGACAGTCGAATACGAACCGTATGACGGGCATCTTGCATCACGTGTGACTTCGCTCTACGCACAATTGGAATCGCTTACGACAACAGTAGCACAGTTAAGACGGGATGCGCCGCGACGTGCGGCGGAGGCATATGCAGCAGAATTAAAGAAGGCGATAGAGGAGGACGAACATGATGATTTGGAAGATGAGGAATCTCTGGAAAATGGGGAAGACCATGAGAGACAAACGACGGAAGACGTCGACATGCCTGATGCAGACCAGGGCCAGAAAGACATTGCCAGCGATGGTCCCACTACGAATGGCTCACGCCGAAGATCAGCGAAAACGAAGTGGGATTTACATGTGCCCCTTGGCACCGACCATGAAGCGGAACTATGGCGCACTGGGGAGATGGCAGAATTATATGAGGATACGTTACGGACTTTACTTCGACTTCAGGGTGAGGCTGTTCCTGGCGATGAGACGAATGCCACAACAGATGGGCCGGCCGATGGAAATGCTGTAGCATCGACAGTCGGGAAGGCTGAACGAGCCAGTCAGGCAGTTGAAGTAGTGGAGAAGAAGTGACCGCCTATGGGTCTGTTTTGTCACTTTTCACCTTGCAATTCGGGCCTGTTGGTGTTTGGCGCTAGGCATGGAATGATACCAGTAAATACTCGACTATGATTGATAATCTGCTATTGGGAATAATGATCGATATCGACTCTTCAGGCAATAACTTGTGTTACGTGTTCAGGCCAACATACCGTGTTACAACTCGCCCTTTCCGTAACCAATACGCACCAAGTTGTATATTGAACTCGAACCCCGAATCCCTAATCAGACAGTCACTTTTATATTGTGTCCCAATATTTACTCTTCTCCGCTCCATCTATAAAAGCACCTCACGCCGCTCATGTTGCGTTGTTTAATATCTAATGTCAAGCCAAAGTGAAAACAAAGACAAAATGGGGAAGCCGGCAGTCGTTTTTCAGGTAGTAGATAGCTAATAGTTGAATCCGGATGAACCAAAGACGGCCATAGGGAGATAGAAAAGCACAGTTGACGTAAACTATTCCCGGAGACAACTTGAGGAAGGAATATAGAGAGGTACACGGCACTGCAGCTTTACCCATGTTGATCCAAGATAAAAGGGATCAGAAAGAAGAAAGAAAAACAAGGAGATCGGGTTTCTATGCAACGGGCTGAGAAGCTTCTTGCGTTTCAACCTTCTGCTCGAGACCGGGATCCTCGTTCTTCACGACGTTTTGGTCTTCCTTGGGAGTAGCCCACTTGGGAGTCTTGGCCCACTCTGGATCTTGCCAAGGGCCCTGGTCGCTCAGCTCACAGCCGCCTGCGCACTTGCAGGTACCACCGATGTCCTCAGGGAGATTCTCAGCGGGGACTTGCGCCAACAGTTCCTTCTTGTAGTTGGAACCGAGGATGTGGATCTTTTCGACAGTCACGGGGTCAAGGAATCCCTTGACGGCGTTGAAAGCGCCGCTGAAACCCCAAGGGGCGTTGATCAGGTAGAGCTTTCCCAGACGCTCGGGGTAATAGTTCTGAGAGATGGCAGAAGCCTGACGAACATATCCATACACAGATGGGATACTTGTGATACCGACGCCCTTCAAGTCCATGATGGTGCAGCAAGTCTCGAGGAGCTTACCCGCCTTCCGTGAGCAGGCGGGCAGTCGGGGGTCGGCAAGCTTCTCATACTCAGTGACAAGGTTCTGCAACATGCGCTCGGCGGTGGTGATTTTGTACATCGCGTTAAGATCGATCTTGCCCAGTTTCTCGATGTAGACAGGTCTTCCATCCTATTTTGATTAAGTTCACAGTTAGCATCGAAGTCGGCTAAGGACAACACATGCACGGCGGTTGTACCTTATCAGTCTTGTGGTAGTACTGAGGGTAGAACTTGAACACTTCCGGCTTCTCCTTGTAGTCGAAAGTGCGAGGCAGATCGTCAGTACCGAACTCCTTCCGCCACTTTTCGCACTCGAGGAACCTATGGAGAACGGGCAATGTTAGTGTTGTATTTCGAATTGTTCGACCGAGGACAAGAAAAATCGCCGAAGGGTGAGATCACTAATTGTGAAGTTCTCTTCGGGACGCTTTGATGGCGTCCGCGGACGCTACAAACGAGAAGTAGTAGGAAACACCTCCGACATACATAGTCTTAGCAAGGGCAACGTCGAACTTTCTCGCTCTCAAAAAGCGGAGCAAAGTCAAAGTATCCAGCCTTTCGGTGTAGCCGAGCTGCTCCAGCTCACTCCGAAGCTGTTCTACCTTTGCATCCTGCTCTGGGGTGGTGTGGCCAGGGTGGCCGGCGTGGGCAACCGGCGCAGTGGTGGGAAAGTCATAGTTGTCGTACTTCGAACTAGGGGCGGCCATGATGGATTGTGTACGAGAGTCTGTGTGAGAGGGAGTGAAAGGGTAGAAGGTAGGAGGAGTTGCGGTGCGGATGAGGGAAGTAAAGTATTCGTGGTCGGAAGACAGAAAGCGCTTAGTGTCAAGGGAGGAGAAATCAATTTGATAAAGGGGGGGGGAGGAGGAGAATAGAGAGGGAGTGGGGAGGAAATGCACGATTGCAGAGAACTCTCCTACAGTTTACAATTATTGATTTCTTTTCCTTTACAGATCTTTTACTGCTTTCATAATTTATTTATTATCTTCATTGCTCTTGTGTTTTTTTACTATTATTTCTCTGATATCTCTGTTAATACATAAAGTAACTAAAAAAGAAAATTTAGCAAAAATACGTAGACCAGAGACAGTCAACGGGGAAACCGTTTAGAGGGAGTGGGCGGTGTCTCCGATACAAACACTTCCAGTCTCAGCCTGGAGTGGGAAAGGAAACTGCCAGTGATGGAAGAAAGGGTAAAAAAAAAAAAAAAAAAAAAAGAGAGAGGGGCGAAAAATCGGAAGTTGTTGAACAACGGTCATCCAAAAAG